TATTCTTTGTGTGTATCTTAAGATTGTTTAGATAGTTTTCTTATAACTTATCTTTCCGCAAACAATCTTGTAAAATCTGTATTGATCTTCTTTATCAATATATATTTTAAAATTGAAAATTGTGTTTGTTTTCATCCCCCCCCCCTTCTACAAACTGTTTAGTATTCTTGTAGACCCTTTTGGGACCAACAAAGTGTTCATCTACCGGAATCTGTATTCTCACACGAGCAACTTTACGTGACATTGTCCAGAGGGATATCACAGGGCAATACGAAGGTGTTAGTGAAGCCTGTTAAAAAATTAAATCGTGCCTGAGTCTATATCTCAAACGTCTTATATCAATAAGTTTTACGTGATGAATAAGGTATAATCAACAATTATATTATTACACATTTGGTATCATATGTTTCTATTAGATACATTGCGCCGTTTTTTGCAGGGAATATTTATGGATGAGTGCATCACGAAAAACAAACAATAGTTTGGATATACGGATGAACATTATTTACAAACGATTGTATTTCTTTGTTCAGTCAAGAATTTCAATTTTAACGAGCTCTGAGTAGATGGGTTTAGAAACCCAGTATGTGTGCAATTATTTTTTCATTGATCTTGCTAATACACCGTATTAACCTTCAATTTTATATATTAGTTGACTTGTAAAATAACCACACAAACTCATGATTCAAGACCAAAACTAATGTTTCTGAATTGTGATTTACCCGTGCTATATCGCGCGGGCACACCACTAGTATATATATATATATATATATATATGGAAAAATTACACCAAAATGGAACCAACTTTCACCTAATTCCTATTTTGGAGAACCAACTTTCAAAATCGTCATTTTGGGGAACCAACTTTCACCTGATTCCTATTTTGGGGAACCAACTTTCAAAATCGTTATTTTGGGGAACCAACTTTCACCTGATTCCTATTTTGGGGAACCAACTTTCAAAATCGTCATTTTGGGGAACCAACTTGCACCTGATTCCTATTTTGGGGAACCAACTTGCACCTGATTCCTATTTTGGRGAACCAACTTTCAAAATCGTCATTTTRGGGAACCAACTTGCACCTGATTCCTATTTTGGGGAACCAACTTGCAAAATAATTATAAAAAAATGGGAAAATTACACCAAAATAGAACCAACTTTAACATGATTCCTATTTTGGGGAACCAACTTTTAAAATCGTCATTTAGGAGTCTTTATCAAACTTTTTGTTTATTTAAGGGCCTGGTTGATCTGTTGAATAGGTAACAGGTAATTTAAGGGTCTCTATCAAACTTTTGGTTGAATTTGCCAAATTTGATTTAAACTTTAATATTGAAATAGATTGATTAGATATAAAAATCTTGAATGTGATATTTAATATTTATTTTTATTGCATCATTTAATTTTTTTTCTATTAAATTGATTTTTTTATTGCATTAGTAAAAAAAACAATTTTTATCGTGGTAATTTGGATTTTTTTTCGAAAAAATCTTCAATTTGATATTTGAATTAAAAAAAAAGAGATTTGAAATGAAAAATAGATTTTATTACATTAATTTTTGAAAAAAAACGAGTTTTAGTTATTTTTCTATAATCATTTTGCAAGTTGGTTCCCCAAAATAGGAATCAGGTGCAAGTTAGTTCCCCAAAATGACAATTTTGAAAGTTGGTTCTCCAAAATAGGAATCAGGTGAAAGTTGGTTCCTTAAAATAGAAATCAGGTGAAAGTTGGTTCCCAAAATGACGATTTTGAAAGTTTGTTTCTCAAAATAAGAATCATGAGTGAAATTTGGTTCCATTTTGATACAATTTTCCATATATATATATATATATATATATATATATTTGGCGGCCAGTTTGGTCCAAACCGTCCAAAAAAGTTTCCAGGCTGCAGATCGAACCAAACCGTCCGGTTTTGCTATTTTCCAAACCAAAGCAAACTGTCAGACCGCCAGACCACTCAAACCCAAAAAACGGTTTGATTTGACTTTGTTCGGCCGATTTAAATAATTTAACGGTTTTTTTAACACCCCTTAGAATTTCCAATAAAAAAAAAATGGATTCGACCAAGCAGAAGAAAAAAAGGAAAAAGAAATTGGAAAATTCAATCGGATCCAATCCTACTTTGACGTCCGGTGGGAGAACACTAAAGTTACAGCACATAAACACGAATCTCCCTCTACTTTCTCTCTCTAAACTTACAGCGAAGAACGGGAACCTCCCCCATGTTTCTTTCTCTAAGATTGAACAACGCTCCATACTGCAAAAGGTTAAATACTAGCTAATAAATCTTAATAATACTCGTATGTGTATGCAAGTTCAAGGGAAAAAAGTGACTGTAAAGAAGAGTATCTTGAAGAACAGTCCCCGTCGCTATTGAATTCGTTATTCTGGTGCGTTTTCTGATTTTATTACTATTTTTTTTATGTAACTTGCATATTCTTTTAGAAAATTTGAACAATTTTTGGTTGTTAACCCTAGTTAGTCACACTCATTTTTAACTGGGAATCAACAATTTATTCCCCTTGAATGTCTGATCGAGTATCTTTCTTGTTGCATTTGATTTGTATAGTTTTTATTACCATCATTTACTATAATTCTGTCATTCTTTCTGTTTATCTGTTAGATTTACGATATTAAATGGTAGGTTAATACAGATAGTTTAGTCTTCCTTTCATCTTTGAGATTGCGTACCGTTATTTAAGGTTTCACGATTTGTAATGTTTGTTTATCAAATTGTTGGTGATTTGGTCCTGTTGGGAGGATATTGAAAGAGCGAGAAGGTGTCTTGTGTAGCCATTAGTGTGACACTCTCGAATGCTTTCTCGCTTTTGTAGACGAGTGTTTAGTTTCATTCGCTTGTTTATATGGATTTATTAAATATTTTATGTGAATTTGATTAACAAAAATGACAAACTTTTGCAGACACTAGTGAGCACTGGCTGGATATTGGTATTTTCCTACTGCTAAGACGACACTAGTATGTTCAAGTGGGAAGCTAGATTTAAGGTTTTTGAATTACTTTGATGATCTCAATTTTTTGGAGACAGTTGATACTTATAAGCTCCAATGTCAAGTTATCCATCTCTTTTGGGGCACGGTAAGGGCTCTCGGATTCTTTGCTGGACTGAGTGATACAGTCAATGTTGTCAGTTATTTCAGTATATGTGGGCTGATGCATTGTTGATTGTACTTCAAACTAAGCAAGTGATTGGCAATTTGTTCTTTCCGAGGATGGTACACCCAGGGCCACCAACTCCACTTGGTGGTGCACACACTGTTCCATCTTCATTGTTGCGGTCAAATTCGGGTTTATTGGGTGGCCAAGGGGGTCCCATGTCTCCTCAGCCTGGCTTCCCATCTCTTCTCTCATCACGTACTCAATTTAACAGCAGTAACATGCTTGGAAATGTGTCAAATGTCTCTTCTCTCCTCCATCAGTCTTATACTAATGGTGGGCCAAGTTCAGGGATCTCTGGCCTCGGGAGTTCCCAAAGGGATATAATTGATGCTGGGGACGAGTCTGATCCTTTGTCTGTCATAAGAAATGGGATGGGTTGTAACGCCCCTTCCTCGTCGTTTAGTTCATCAAATATAGTACATCCAAATGCATCAGGTCAACTGTCTGGACAACAATTTCCGACTTCATCAGGCAACCAAATCTTGTCAGACCAGCAATCAGCCCAACAACTTGAATCTGAAAACATCCAACAGAGTCAAAACTCCCTTCAACATGTCTCCGTCTCTCACAATGACCGCCATCATCATCATCATCATCAGCAGTATCAAAATATTCGAGGTGGATTAGGTGGTGTTGGGCAAGTTAAGTTAGAGCAACAGATGACAACCTATCAGCATGGACAAACTCCTCAACAGTTCCAAGCTTTGAGAAATCTTGGGCCGGTAAAAATGGAACTACAGCATAGTCAGTCCATGGCTAACTTACCACCTGTAAAATTGGAACCCCAACACTCCGACCAGTCATTATTTCTGCACCAGCAACAGCAGCTGCATCAGCACCGACAGCAGCAGCAATTCCTTAATGTGTCCAGACAATCCTCTCAGGCAGCGTCTGCTGCACAAATTAATCTTTTGCATCAACAGAGATTATTACAACTCCATCATCAACAACAACTATGGAAAAATATTCCTCAACAAAGGTCTTCAATGCAACCACAGTTTCAACAGCAGAATTTGGCATTAAGATCTCCAGCAAAACCTGTGTATGAACCAGGAATGTGTGCAAGACGGCTAACACATTATATGTATCAGCAACAACATAGGCCTGAAGTAAGAGTTCCACAATCTGTATTGGTAGAGTAAGATAATTTTGGATTGTGGAAAGCGGTTTTTATGCCTCATTTTCTTGTAGGACAACAGTATTGAGTTTTGGAGAAAATTTGTGGCTGAATACTTTGCTTCTAATGCCAAGAAGAAATGGTGTGTTTCTTTGTATGGAAGTGGACGCCATACTACCGGGGTTTTCCCTCAGGTCAGTTTTTGGAGATAATTTGAAGTTATTTATGGTTATCAACCAATAAACTTCATCTTAATTACTTCAGCTAATTTTGAGCTCTCATATTATCTATGTGATTACCAGTTCAATATATCAACTAGAGCAGATAATAACTTCCATCAAATATTAGTTCCGAAAATAAGGTTTATAACATAATGGTTTCATGCTCTTATCAATGGCCAAACATCAATACCAGTAAGTGCAATATCTGTTTGTGCTTATGCAGGACGTATGGCACTGTGAAATATGCAATAAGAAGCCAGGCCGTGGATTTGGCAAGTCTTCTACTGTTTTGCTTACTTGTACATTTAAATCTTTTATTATTCCTTGTATTCCATACAAATCGTATTCTCTTTTTTAAACCATGGAATTATTGAATTTTATATGGAGTTACAATTCTTTGTAATTTGTAAAAACGTTTTGGAGCTCTCACTTCATCCTTAGCTCGGTTTTTTTGGACACTTATTTTACAGATGCAAAATGTTACTATTATTAGTTGTATTTATAAACTTCATACCTTTTTCCTTTTGTTGAAATTCATGGATGCAAAGGATCTCTTATTGCTGTCTTATTGCATGTCTAACCCGTCATTAGTTGAAAGTGAACCTTTTTAATTAAGTGAATATCTGCTTAAAAGATTGTTGATCTTCTTTATCAAGAAAAATATCCTGAAAATTAGAAAAGGGAAACCTTCCGTCATAAAACCAGATCCTATTTCTTAATCTTTTCCCTTTCCTCGGATACTAGTATTTAACTTAGTACTCCTTCTGTCCACAATAAATGTCCACAATGAAATTGGCACACATGTGTAATTATTACACTTTTTAATCAACTAAATGACAATCTTTCCCTTAATTATGGAGAAGAAATTTTCTCCATATCATAATTAATGGTATAATGGGAAAGTAGACACTTATTTTGGAACAAACTAAAATAGAGATGCGCACACTTATTTTGGGATGGAGGGAGTAACATATAGAAGAAGGAACAGTGATCAATTATTTATTCCAGTTAGCTTTAATCTGGGTTGACCCTGATAGATCATTAAGTTCTATTTTGAAACTGAAAAGAGTATATTTTTATCAGGATGCCAAATTGTAATTCCTGTTTATCATATTTTTATCAAAGCTCTGTACTAGACCGGTTCTATCACAACCATCTGAGGCTAACTGACTCCATCTTCCTAGATAGGTTTGCCTGTTACCTATAAAATGATTTTCTGCTTGTCTTGCAGTCTCTAACATATGCAGATGTACTTTCAGAGGCCAATGTTGAAGTCCTGCCTAGGCTTTTCAAAATAAAGTACGAAAGTGGTACTTTGGAGGAGCTCCTTTATGTTGATATGCCCCGAGAGTATCAAAATTCGTCTGGGCAAATTGTCTTGGACTATGCAAAAGCCATACAGGAGAGCGTTTTTGAGCAACTGCGTGTCGTCCGTGATGGTCAACTAAGAATAATCTTTTCTCCTGATTTGAAGGTTACACATTGAATCTTGTTGTAAAGAGATTGATTCTGATTGAGCTATATACTTATGGACTCTTTCTATAACATGCAGATATGCTCTTGGGAATTCTGTGCTCGGCACCATGAGGAGCTTATTCCTAGGAGATTGCTGATACCACAGGTTATTAATGCAACAGCCATATCCTTCACTGCAGAACATTTGGGTCTGAGAAAGTACCATATGTCGTCTAATATTCATCAATCTATGGCTAACTATGTTCTTCTGTGATGGTACAATTATTAATCATTGTTGATGAACCAAAATTCAGGTCTTATCTACTTTTACGTTCTCTTTCATGTGACTCATTTCTTATCTGTCAACTTTTCTGTCCTCAGGATTTTGGTACTTCTTTCTGTCTTTTAATTTGAATAATGAATAGGCTAAAAAATGTATCAATGAATTAGAGAAGTGCTTTCCTTCAATGATTTTGGTAGTTCTCTTTGACATTATCCTTTACTTTTAATGAATAGTACAGTTTGTTTGTTGGGGATCAAAGCATTCACAGTTCAATACATGACAACTGAAAACATTATAATCATCATAGTCAAACTGAGCTGTTGATTTTTTCTTTTGCAGGTTAGCCAGCTTGGTAATGCAGCTCAGAAGTACCAGGCTTCTACTCATAATGCTTCCTCAAATTTATCTGTACCAGAATTGCAGAGCAATTGCAATATGTAGGTTTCAGACTTGTTGTCCTTTTCTTATTTAAATGTTGCCTAATTGCTCGTCTTATGTTCCATCTTATGTCCTCAAACGTTTGGTATTCATCAGTGACATTATCAAACAATTATACATGCTTATACGATCTGTCAGTACTGTATGCTGTACAGAGTAGAGTAGGGCTTTTTGTTTCTGTGTGGCAAACTACCTAGTCTAGTTGGTTGGATGAGATGATTGCATTTAACTTAACTGCATAATTTCATGCCATCTATTGAGATGTTTTGAGGTTCTTCTGTAATCAGCTTCTAATTTGTCCCATCGCCTCTAGTTGGATTATGAGATAAACAAAGTAATATTTTAGCAAATGCTGATAATTAATATTATATTAGCATGAACACATCAAATACTTACTTCAAAGAAATAAATGTGACTATGCTCTTTTACACACATTTTTACCCTAATTGACACCCATTTCATTTATCCTTAATATTTTCCTATAACCTCAATTCAGTTATTAAATCCTTAGTTGTCTAGCTTACTTTGACGCTGATGAAATTGAATAGGCCTTCTAAAAAAGCAAAACAAAAGAAGACAAGGAACAAAAATTTCATGAAAACATGAAAGGCTGTATTGTTTTTTTTTGAGTTAATTAGGACTACACATAAGAAGGAATGGAAATCTATGAAGATGACTCAGTTAAACACATAAGCACCAAATAATTTCCTTCACTTAATGAATTCTTGTCAAAAGTCAGGTGGTGGTGTTGACACATAAAAAGGGAAAAAGAACTTGGCCATAAGGCTTCCGACCAGTAAACGGCACAAGAAGTAAATAAAATCTCAACCTCATGAATCTGTAAATTGGTCATTTTAGCGCTGTTGTTACAAAAATAATAACATTTTGCACATTGTATGAGAAGATCTAAAAGGGTTAGTTTATGTGTTAGGTTTGTTGCTTCAGCTCGTCAGTTGGCTAAAGCATTGGAAGTTCCATTAGTTAATGATTTGGGATATACGAAGAGATATGTGCGGTGTCTTCAGGTAATTTGCTTATTTAAGGACAAAGTTGTTATAATTGTTCACTCACACACACCATGATCTATTCTGATTAGCATGTATTGGTTGTGGTCGCTTTTCATATCATTCTATATTGTCATAACTGCACAGCATATTGTTAGTACCAATAGATATTCTAATCTGCTATAATATGGTAATCATGTTTAGGGCAGAGAGACTTAAAGGGGGAGGCCATAATGACAGAATCATGTAATATGTCCATTGTGGGATTTGGCTGTGCACTCAACCATACTAAAACGTAGATATGCACTGCCAGTGGGTGAACTAGTTTATCATTATGATTTGTCTTATAAAGAAGACATTGCCTAGGTACCATAGTGACTTATTTGGTTGAACAATCTAAATCAAAAAACCCTGTAAAATAGTGGGGAGATGGGAAGGGATGACCTAACTAACCTTATGTAGATAAGAAGTAGAAGCAGAGGAGAATATTCTTGTAACTAGCCAACAAAGGGAATAAGGACCTATTTGTTGGTAGCTTAACGAGCTTAATGGGACTCACAACTTATTTGGTCAGCTATACATGACTGTTTGGTAGTGGCTTGATGATGTAGAAAGCGGCTTATTCAGTAAGATTCTATGGAGGGGCTTTATGCAGTATGCCAGTTTTTTTGAAACCTGACCCTCCCCATTGAAAAACACTCTCCTTCAGTCTATGAAAAAACCCTCCAAATCAAAACCTTCCCAATCTCTACAGACAGATTAATCCACAGATTGATCAATCCATAGGCAGCTTTATCAATACATGACTTAATGGAAAACCAACCAAACATCACCTAAGAGAAAAAAACTCAAATCAAAAGGAAAGATATGCATGGTTATATAGGTATAGCTTCTTGAATCGACACTTTACCTCAACCACTGTTAGTCTATTACTCATTGGCATTCGTATATGATTACCTGTATTTGCTGGCTATGCAATACAATACTAAGTTAAAAGGGAACTTAAATCCAACATAAAGTGTTCCTAGGGCAACATTTTTGTTCAGGTAAATTTAAAAGTAGTGTTACTTTTGATATTTCATACTGTTACTTTTAATTCTTTAGGTTTTGTAAGCCATATGCCTGGGTGGTTATCCCCTGTTTGTTTGGAAAAAGGGAGCTTTATACTGTTAAGATAAGCATAGTGGATGAAATATCATGACCTTGAGGCTTAAAATAAATATGCTTGGATGGAATCATATATAATCTACTGTCTACAAAGATGAGACCAAAAGAAACTCTCAAGGATACAAGTAAGCTGATAAATATGTGGCGTTTAGTATAACCAGTGTCTGAGTATAGTCAAAATCATAAAAACAAGGATGAATGAGAATGCGAGAAATGAGCAAAATATGAACAAAGCAGAGAGAAACAAAAAGTATGATTAAGAGGACAAGAATTTGAATTATGATATAAGAAAATCACAGAGAAGCTACTTACTAAAATTAAGACGGAAACTGAAGGATGCTTAATCCAGAAGGAGCATTTATTCTCTTTGGAAAGAACTTCAGAATTGAAAACCACAACTTGTTTCTGCGTGTGTGTAATCTGAAGGAAGTATGCCTATAGTCACGTATTAGAGAGATGCTTTTTTTGGAAAGAGGGCGGCACCTCTGGCAAACTTATAACCGGAAACCTAAATGGCATGGGACTCCCACCCAAAGCAAGTCATGTAACAAATGGGACATTCCCCGAAGTTATGATGAGAGCAATAAAGCAACAAAAGAAGCACAAGTTGTTGGAACAGGCTTCATACCACATAATTAAGATCCAAAATACGTAAAACTGAGGAGACATGAAGCATAAAAAAGAAAATACTAAACCAAAATACTTCAATCTGCACCCACTGGTCCTTACCACCAACCTGCATGGTAGTCCATGTCATCCCATGCAAAAGCACACTGAATGTCTTGACACTCCACACTATATCCGCACCACATCTCCTGTTGCACACCATGCTACTGGCCTCGATCAACATGGCTCATTGTAATCCTCCACTTCTCCCGGCGGCACGACTCGTATTACCATTCATCCCTCGTCCAACCCGACCCTTCGGCAGAAGGTTTTGCTTCCACCGCATCACCTTTCGGACTTCCTTGAGGTGCTCCTCCATGGTTCGATATTGGTTTCCAAACAGCCTTCGATTCCACTCTTGTCAAATATGTTGTATTTACAAAACCTCTATCCTCTAGTTTAAACCCTCGCCTCTCATTTCCTTCTACTGAAAGCGATTGCATCCTTCTTCTTATCATAGCATAGTATGGTACAGTAAGGTAATAGCAGGCTCATAACCTGAACCCCCTTGAGGATTGGATTGACTTGGTTATTGCACCCTCTTAGCCCTCAGCGAGGGCCTTTGCTTGACCCTCAACCGACTAGCTGTGTAATGGTGAAAATGGTTTGGCTAAATTTCCTCTCTGATCCATCTGTTGTAGTATGTAACAGTTTGCATAGCTCTTTTCTGAACAATACCACTGGACATTTTCTTTTTTACGAAGTTGTTATTGATACTTCATTACTTAACATTGTGTGTTTTTGGCTATATCTGCAGATATCCGAAGTGGTTAATAGTATGAAAGATCTGATTGATTATAGCCGAGAAACGAGCATTGGACCTATGGGTAAGCTTAATAACATCATTTATATTTTTACTATGCAAGTGAATGCTGTAATCAACTGAGGTTATGTTGTAGGGTATAATTTTATTATTTCAGAAACTTGCCAACATGGCTTTGGAAATCTTTTTGAAATGCTTAGTCTAGCAAAATATTGACTTTTGAAATATCTACATTTCAAACAGCTAGTTACCTCGTCTATGTTCCAAATATCCTTACCTGGAGCTAATTCTCTATTACGCAAGTGACAAGAGGTTTTCCGCTTCTTGGGGCATCTTTGATTCAACCTCTTTGTTTCTGCTTTGATGTCACCCATTTTTAATTATTAATTTGAATTTATAGTATGTTCACAGATAGGTGAAAGCAGGATGAGGGACTTTGACAAATGTTGAAATACTAGGTTTTTGAGGATTCACAACAGACACAATAGAATCTCTGGGGATTCCCTCCCAAGATGAAGGGTTTGCACCCAAATTAATGAGGGCATGCTTTATTAGAAACTTATGTCATTTTGTACGTCAATATTAAATCGAACTGCAAATTACATATCATTCATGGATATATGAAATCTAATCTAGAGTCGGGAACAAGTAAGCTGATGAACCGACTACCCTTGGTAATTAAAACTAATAACTCCTCCATTTACGTTTGGGTGTTCTATTTTAGTTTGAATGCCAAACTTGCATTCAACAAAAATATAATTAATATTTTTCTTCCTTCTACAGTTTTAACATTGATCTTTTTAGTATTTATAATGCTTCACTTTCAGCTTTTTATGTAGTTATTTGCTTTCCATGAAAGCTAATATATTTGTATTAAGTTTAGAGTTGAAAGTAGTTTTAATTGACGTTAAAAGTTAAATCAGGACAGGAGTAGTTTCTAAAAGCCTACAAAGACTTGTGGTTCTTGAATCATGATTATTTTACTTGTCTCTCCACTGTGGGTGGTCATCAATATGGTTTATCTTGTTCCACAAAATCATGTTGACTGATAATTTGTACCTAAAGTAATGTGTTAACTGCTTTCTAGGTTGCATTTGGTATAATATTTTTTCAAAGGAACACCAAGGATCAAATGTGCATTTTCATAAATGATAGGGTTGTAAACTGATACATATGATCTCTCTAGGATAAAATTGCCAACCACCAGAGTTGAGAAGCATAGTATATACTATATGCTGGGGCTATTGGATGTTTTAATCTGGTAATAACTGAGAACAAGTAGTAAACCTAAATGGTATTGGATTTATTGAGGATGAGACTTGTGTAGACTATTGGCTCACAAATGTGTAGATATAACTCATATAAGCTATTAAATTGGGAAAAGAAAGGGCAAAGGGGGGTTCGAGGTGAATTTAGAGCAAATCTTTTTATAACACTACTAGAAGGGAAAGGGATCTTAAAAACGATTAAAGTAATATGGCACCAGCATCTACTCTTATGGTCGGGTGGAAATCGAAACATCTGTTACAAGAGTGGTTGATAAGTCGATTTAATAGTATAATGGAACAATTTCAGACACTTTAGTATGATTTTTATGCTAGTAAGATGTGAGTACTCAAATCTATTATCCACCAATTGTAAATCCATATACTGTCTCCAGTTATCCAGATGTAACCTAGAAGTCTTGACAAGATCCCTTCTGTGTTTGCCTGTTTAAACAGAAAGGACAGGTAGGATTTATCCACTCCGTAAGATCTGGACAGGGCTTTCACAAAGTTCATAGTGATTTCCTTGCAAACTTAAAGGGCAAGTAGGATTTATCTAAATTATGTACAAAGTTCATAGTGATTTCCTCCCAAACCATCCAAAAGACATGATAAGCAACTCACATTGTCCCTCATGCACGCGAAAAGCGGTCTCGTTTTGTTCTTCTGCCTTCATTATCAGGTTGTAGCCAATTTGAGGTCCAGCTTGGAAAAAACACACACCCTGAACAATTCATCCAAGAACTCATCAATCACTGCTATCAGAAATTTGTCCGGTACCTTGCATTTAGTGAGAGCACAGTTGTCTGCACAAAACCACCAACTTCCGTCTTTTTAACCAACAAAAGCACTTGAAAATGGGCTGTTAACTTTTCTCGTATGGCCTCTGCCTCCAGCATTTCGCGGAGTAATTTTTCCATCTCCTCTATTTGGTAATGTGGATACCTGTATTGTCGTATGTTGAGAAGACCACACCATTCTTGCACGATAATCTAGTCCTCCTTACCGCTCTTTGGTGGCAGCCGGTCGCATCAGGTACACCCTGATACGCTTATAAACTCCCTCTAGTTCGTCAGGAATGTAGCACTTTGCTTATTCAGTGGTATATATCATCCCAACTCGAAACATAACCCCATTGTTTTTCCTGCTTCCAAGCTCTGTCTAAAGTCTTAACCAACACTAGTAATCTAGTACCATTGTTCCTTATCATCTTTGAACTTCCTAGTCTGCGTTTTCGTTGTAGATTGCTCCTAACATTTCTAACCATTGAATGCTTCGTATCACATGTGGGTTACTCATGTCAATGCAGGAACTCCTTGACAATGTCTACCCCTTGGAAGCTCAGTTTCACCCCCTACACGCTCTTTTCCCTTCACCCCTATACATCCCTTTCACTGTAATGACACTGCCGGTTCCCGTAGTTATTTTTTTAGCTTTCGGTTTCTTTCATGGACAAGCTCATTTGTCACCGAGGAAATAAATCTGTGAGAGACCCTGCTATCAATGTGCACAACAATCTGTTGCACTTGAAAATTGAACATCCTAGCTTCATTGTTTCTGGATTTGGGAATCCAATTACTGGATTTAGGCATACCTCCACTTTCTGTAGCATTTCTCTCATCTCTTTTTCATTCTTATCTTTTTTCAACTCAAATTTCATAGCTGTCATAGTCTCGTACTACCAGCATATTGATCTCTTCCCTTTTGCATTTGTGTCTTGGAGAGTACATGTCGTCACATCTGCAACACAGGCCTTGTGACCTCCCCGTGCGTAATCGGCGGTTGCTTAAGCTTCCATTAAAACCACCTCAATGCATGTCCTTCAAAAGCGATAACCGCAACCTCCATCTGCTCCCCTTTCATCAAAAGGTAAGCGAGAAATACCTCTTTGTGCGTAAAACCTACCCGTTGGGGTCCCTTCCATCAAAAGTTCTTTAGTTTTCACCCCTTAATCGCGGAAATTCTGCTCGCCTTGGATGACTCACCTTATCGGCTCTCCCATGAATTGGCCCTTCGCTGTTTGTCGGAAAGAGTGGAGGGAGGTGTATCAGGTCCCTCAGCAGCTTCCTCCTGGACTTTGGTTAACCATTCTAGCTGCTTCAATACCATTTGCACATCATCTTTCAATGAACCCACCCCGGCCTGGACATCGTTCATGTTCTCTTCCGATTCTTCTCTTGAGGCTACGCTCCTGGTCATCTATGGATCTCACCGCTCTAATACCAATTTGATGAACTCAAGGATCACTTTCGCAAAAATCAGAAGTATGATCGTATTGCACTCTCGGTCGAGAGATTACAGAGTTACCAGCTTTTGAGAGGCGAGAGGCTGGTGCGCTCCCTGGCTTTCACCAAACAGAACTGCAATAAAATTGGATACCCCTTCTCCATTGCTTCTACTTAACCCTTCATCCCTACAGAAAGATAACGTCCCCCTCCGAAAAAAAACAAACACACACACACAGACAGGAAGTTGATAACTTTATTTACCCCTACTTTTTATTTTATGGCTACCTTAATTGATTGCTACTATATAATATTTTCCCAYACTCCCTCTATTTCTTCTTGTTGTGCTGTACATAAGTAAATCCAGTAGCTGGTTTATCATATTACTCTAGGCATGGGGAGAGGTGAATTAAGTGGTGAATTTCATCAGACTTCTTGTGTGACAGACTGACACATGTGCCGCTGAAGTTGAGGGGCAGTTTTTAGAAGACCTGCTATGCTTATGGGCAAGAATGTCTGATGGCAGGAAAAGGTTGGCTGGAACAAGTCGAAGATGATGAAGTGTTTGAGCAAAAATTGAAATAACAAAAGTAGTCAGAAGCAAACCAACAAATTGATAACTTTATTTACCCCTACTTTTTATTTTATGGCTACCTTAATTGATTGCTACTATATAATATTTTCCCATACTCCCTCTATTTCTTCTTGTTGTGCTGTACATAAGTAAATCCAGTAGCTGGTTTATCATATTACTCTAGGCATGGGGAGAGGTGAATTAAGTGGTGAATTTCATCAGACTTCTTGTGTGACAGACTGACACATGTGCCGCTGAAGTTGAGGGGCAGTTTTTAGAAGACCTGCTATGCTTATGGGCAAGAATGTCTGATGGCAGGAAAAGGTTGGCTGGAACAAGTCGAAGATGATGAAGTGTTTGAGCAAAAATTGAAATAACAAAAGTAGTCAGAAGCAAACCAACAAATTGGTATAAGACCGCAGTTTTAGGATATTATGGAACTTTCTCCTCATTTCTTGAAAACTCTTGAAGAATTGGTTCACTTCATTGCAACTTATTTCCAGTCTCATTTTTAGCTTGTCTCATCTCAGGTAGCATTTTGTTGTCACTGTTATGGTGTTGATTTTGAGTCTATTCTTAATCTTGTGAAAAGGATGAGCTATTGAAGAAATTGATGTCAACACATTTTTAACCTAAGCCTCCTGGGAAAGGCACTGCTGGTACCAGATTTACATGTATTTGTTGGTTTTTTCTTCTTGTGGCCAAGGTCAATGCAACTGCCTATACATCTAAATGTTGTCGGCCTGTCATGTTCCCCCGTAAATAAATATGATTTCTCTCACTTTTATGTAGTCAAAGAACCTTTACTTCTGAAGCCACTGAGTTCCAGTAAATAAATGAAGGGTTCAGAGTTGGGAGTAGGCCTAAGTTGTTGCATTTTAACAAAAGAAAGTATGGCGATTAGCCTTCAATTCTATGTAATTATAATGGATAGCTCTTAAAGATGAACAGTTTTTCGACATGCTCATTGACTCCAAAATGTTTTTCCAATATTTTATGTTTTTACCCTTGCAGTTGCATGCATTATTATTTAGATAGCTTATTAGATATGTTCATTTTTAAATCTGCCCTTCGGAACGCTAGGGTAGTGATAATGAAATACCAGGAGGGTTATTTATATGGGAGTGTATTCTGCTTGTTTCACGTCAAAAGCACGGCCTTCTTGTATGAACGATTACTTACTCCCGCCCACAGTAAATCTCCACAACGGAAAAGGCATACAGTTCTAGAAGATGTGTAATTATTATACTTCTTAATTAACGAAATGACAATTTTACCCTTGATAATATGAAATTCTCCATCTCATAATTAAGGGTGGAATTGGAAAGTACACACTTTTGAAAGTGGACAATTATTTTTGGACAAACTGAAATAGAAATGTGGACACTTATTTCAGGATGAAGTTTATGTTGGTTTAAATTTATTTGAATATTTATGCAATATGCCAATATGTTTGGTTGTAGTTATTTGTTTTGAGGGAAATCTGAATTCTAGCATATCTGCTTGTTGATCAGGTGCTGATATTAAATATGTCTCATTTTGTTGAATCTCTGTTTGTCCTGATTGATAGAGAGCTTAGCAAAATTTCCCCGGAGGACGTCTGGGTTTCATAGTCAACAGCAGCAGACAGCATCTCATAAAACATCTAACAACGAAACGTCTGGGCAGGCGACTGCTGTAAATAACTCTAGCACAGGACTTTCGAATGGAACCATTGCTGGGATGCTGTTACACCAAAATTCCATGAGCTCAAGACATCAACATCCACTTACTACTACTGCAGCAAATAGTCTGTATGGCATTCAAGTTTCTTCACCACCTCAACCTCAATCCAACATGTCATCATCCGCCCCTCAAAATAATATTTCCATGATTTCTAGTGATACAGAGCCACCAAGCGATTCCCAGAGCTCGGTTCAAAAAATACTACACGAGATGATGATGATGTCTTCGTCCCAACTTGGAGGTTCAATGGCAAGTGATGTGAAAACAAGCAATAATAATAAGAATTCGGGTGTTATGGTGGTGAATGGGGGGATACGAATAGGTCATAGTTCTTTGCAGCAGCAGCAGCAGCAGCAGCAACAGCAACAGCAACAGCAACAGCAGGATGTCATGAATGGGTTCAATAGTCTTCTTCCGTTTGATTGGAAAGCTGCTTCACCATAGACGACAACCACGATGACTAGAGGTAATATTGTTTGCAAAGGGTTTCAAAGTGAAGCTGGATTTGCATATATGATGATGATGATATACATAGAGGAGACGATGATGATGGTGATGGTGGGGGGGGGGGGGGGGGAACTAACGTATAGAATGATGTTTTCCTACTCAACTTCTTGATTTTGTTTTTGGTCTAGTGTCTTGGTCTTCATCTGTACAAGTGAGTGTATGTCTATGTATATCATGTGGAATATATCTGGACCCATATGTAGAATTTTAGTCAATATAACTTGAAATTGAATCTCCATTTTGGACTTAAATGAATCACACTTGGAAGAAAAAAAGAAAAGAAAAATATACTGTCATTATTATTGCACAATGCGTTTGCAGTTGTATATTATTATCTAGAGATCAATCTTATAGAAGTTCGTTTATGAGATGGAGTGTTACTTGTATATTGGTTTGAGCTCCTAGCTTTTAGTGTTTGTAGTAATTTCTTTTTTCATTTTTATATTTTGATCATATAGTTAATGACATATAAGCATTTTTGACTTGTAAAAGTGTATGCTTATGTACTTGGCTTGACTTGGAAAAATTAATGTAGTTTTTCAACAAGTTAAGTTGAATATGGGTGCTATGGAGCTTGACTTGTAAAATTAAACAAGCTTTCTTTTGTATTTGAGACCGACTGGAGCTCGAGATAAACGAGCTGAAATTTGAATATCTCGTTAAATGTTTGAATCGTTAACTAGGGATGGTCCCACGTCTCAACCCTAGCGGCTATCGTTTCGGGTGTGAAAACTAGGGTTACATTCAAGGGCTCACGTAATCAGATGCTTATGCCCGACATAACTGTGCATGTGTCTTTCTAGCCTGTTAGATGTTTGTCATGTCAATGACACATGATAATAGAATATGACAGAGCTCATCAAGCTTGTCAAACGGAACCAATGATCGTAGTCGTTGCAGAAACCATTTTTTGGGACTTTGATCACTCACTTGCGTGCAGGTAAGACATTACTTTGGTTTTCTACATTTCCATTATCACATTTTATTGGGATTGGTATGTTATTTGTAATTTCTTTTTCTTATTTCATTCTTTGTAACTTGCACTGTAATTTATTTATTTATTAATGCAATGCCCTTGATTGGTGTCATAATAGTGAATATGTGGACTCAGAGCGACTCACGATTGTTTACTCAGCAATACCAATCGTCTCTCTTCTTTACTTTTTCCCGTACTACACTCGATCCCATTATGAGTATATAATTATCTTGTGGTCGGAGGTACTTCTCACACAAAGGTCAATCTCACTAAGCAAATGCAACGTACATGTCACTAGAAGATTGGCCGAGGCAAGCTTATATGTCCTCCATCAGACATTTCTTTTCTGCTTTGACATGTAGTGAACAACGTACAAAATGTAGTGGTCATACTATAATAAAACATGATAGTTTTTTTTTACACAAAGACCATACTTTTGGTAAGAGTTGGTAGAAGCTTACTTGAAAAGTTCCACCTTCACCTTGAAGAACCACACATTGAGCTCTTCAGCTTCTTCCTTGATCAAGATGCTGGTTATAGGTATAGGGTGACGATAAACCAATTCAAATTTTCCTTGTCTTTGTTTATTCAACTTGTCTTCTACTCGTTGAACTATGAACTGTACATATATGACATCACCGGTGTCTCACTGGTGCTAAACAGTACAAAAGTTTATGGTAAGGAACGTTCATGCTAGAAAAGAACAACAATTATTTTTTAGTGCTTTTGAAGTGTTATCAGCAATGTATAGATAGGAGGAACCAAAATCTCCCCTATTTGATGATCACAATACATTACAATCTGAAACATCTAAATAGGAAAAATAGTACTGGAACTCATAAGAGTTGTGCAAAATGGGAACTCATACATTCAGTATCCAATTGTCATTGTTTTCGGGTTTCTTTTAAATGTTTTTGATATATTTTTTTGGTTTTGTAAAATCCTGTATATTGATTTACAATCAAGAGGTCAAACAAATAAACATGAGCACAATAGAAATGGATCAGGTCATCATGTCATTGATTGATTGAAAGATATGAGTACAAGAGAATCTAGAGAGATAAATTGTTACAAAGTTACGTACAAATAAAAGGATTCAAAAGTTACTAAAACAGGTTTAACAAACTTCTATTTAGACAGAATGGAAAAGCTATAGTTACATTGAATTATAAAACAGACTAACCATCTTGTAACACGTGGCCTAGTATCTTGAGGCTTCAAGTCTTTGATCTTCTAAATTGAGAAACATAACAAAGAAATGCTTAAGTGTCTAACTCTGGATAGGTGCATCCAGAGTTAGCTTTGAACTCTAAAATAACAGCTACCGAACTCTGAAGACTTATCACTTAGAAATTTCACCTTCATATTTGAACTTTGAACTCACTATTCAGCCTTAACCTCTTCATTGCTTCATAACTCTGAAATCATCTCTCTTCATACTTAAACATTTTGGCATATTTGAAATAACTTCTCAAGTAATAACATTCTCCCCCTTTGATTGAAATGTCAATGAGGAATGAACCTCAAAAGTGTCAAATTTCTCATATTAAGCTATGCTTGAATATTCATCTTTATCCATTCAATAAGCTTTACTTCCTTTGGCCATTCAGCTAGCTTTGCTTCTTTTGGCTTCTTTTGCAATATCTTTTCTAAAGCATTTATATATATATATATATATATATATATATGTCTTAATGTGTCTGAAGAATACTTGGAAACCTTTACAACTTTGAAAAATAACTCTTGGTTGTTGTTGGCCAATCTGAATACAAATCCTGTCAAGGGTTTTCTAGCATCAGAGCCAGTCTTCAAATTTTCAACTCCATCAAGGGATATATGATATATCTGAAGCTAGTAAACATACTTCATATGTTCTAAGCTCAAAAGCAACTTGAAAATCAATCAACCCAGGCCATTTTGTTGCTCTAAGCATCCCATGTCTGATAGTAGTAACACCCTTTTTAAACTTAGAAACTTTATCTTTATAAGGTGCCAGTTTGCAATGAAGTTCCCACATATCTTGAAGATGCAAATTCTTGAAGATGCAAATTCTTGAAGCCAGTTTTAGAAACTCATAGTTCAACATGTCTTCACTTTCGACATCAAATATCACTTACTTAAACTTCTTCCATATCTTTATCTTCAAATCATTGAACTTGTCAATCTTTAGATTTGAGTAGACATTTTTTTCATCTTGCCAATCATTTCCATAAACTCCCAATACCTTCTTCTAAAGCTTTCAGATGGATTGTTAAATGTATCCAAATAAGTAACAACTTTGAAGTTATCAATAGTTTTAAACATGTGGAAATACTTAAATTCCAAAAACCAATGGTTTGCATCAACTTCTTTATACTCCACATCATTCTTTTGTTTCTTAGGTTCAACAACAGCCTTTTCAACTACATCAAGTTTTGTAACTTCAAACATTTTTATTCAGATTAAGCTTTGGATGAATAGTGAATTCATATGGAAACACCATATCTTGTTCAAGAACCTTCTTTGGATTCACTTATGTTAAGCACCCATCCAAACAATCTTTCACTAACTCTCTTAGTTCCAATCTCTCTTTTATAGCATAGATCAAACCAATCTTCACATGCTTTTTGTCATCTTCTGGTTGAAGTTTCTGTTGGAATATGCTCATGTCATAATAAATAATTATATGGCTAGACACACGTGAGCCTATAGGGTCACACACATATACACTGAGACATCATTTAATATGATGTATTTATTGTATTTACATTATATATATATTATCTTAGTAACGTGAGGTATTTACATGGGACCTAATCATTAAGTATGAATTAATAATTTGGGATTGGAGTAAGTTAATGGCAATTCCATTATAATTAATTAAATCCTAAGCCCATGAAGAGTTAGAAGGAAAACCCCATGGAAGCATTATGATTAATTATATATAAATATAGTAATTAACCTAATGAAAAGATAACTCCTCTTCCTCTCTCTCTGTTGATCCCATATATCTCAATAACACTAATAATCAGGTTAAGAATAACCAAATTATAGTGTTTTAATGAACAAAATGATGAACACTCAAGAACAGTGTATGAACATTCAAAGAACAATCTTGAGTGCCAATAATTTCACTTTATTCAATATGAAAACGTAAAAGCGACGTTGATTAATAGGCCTAATCACTTATTTATACCAGTGATAAGAAGATAACTATCTAGTAAAACTATCTAGCCAATCGTCTAGGAAAGATAATGTTTATCTAAAGTATGGATAAGCTATAAATCGAGATAAACTTGAAATCCAGCTGTCAATTAGTTATCTCCAGTTGTATTCCATGGGATGATGATTCAACCTTATCTTCATATATTCATCGTATGCCTCTGGCTGAACTGCTGAAGAAAACTCTAAGTGTTGTTGATCAGAGAGGTGATGAAGATGCTCTTTCCATCACATCTCTAGTCGATTCATCGACCCTCTGGTTGTTCTCCAGACTTGGTCAATTCTGCCTTAACGTCTTCATCGGTCTGCTGGTTCTTCATCACTTATTGTTCTTCATTACTTTTACACTTATAAATTATGGAGTCTAACAATCTCCCTCTAAGTAATGAAAGAACAAACATAAACTAATCTATGAACAATATTGAAGAACAAAGACTAATCTAAAGAAAAACATCAATTTCCAAATTTTCATTGGATGATGAATTCTTACAGTACTGGAAACAAAGACATTTCAATTTAAGGCAAAAATTTTAAAACTCTATTCATGATCTACCTTGAGATATTTCCCAGAAGCACAGTAGTAGTCTTCGATAACTGATGACTGTAGATATCTCATGAATGAGTTGTTTCCCGTTTTCCCTTGGCACATGAGTTCTACCCAGTCTCTCTCTGATAACTTTCTGAAACCACTYAAGTGTGTCGGTTGAATACTTGAATGCTTCAGTTAGTCTGAAAAATTTCTTTACCCCGAACTCATTCTTGAAGACAAGTCCAAGCTCGGGTTGAGTTAAGACAGAAGCAGATCTCTTCTCCTGCAGGCCAGTGAAGTCTTTATTAGGTGGAGTGCAGGAGAGTC